CAGTAAGGAACTGCAGCACAGCTGCCAGACCTCCACAGGTGTAGCAGAGACCCCTGGGCATCTAAAATGTCACAAGATATTTATGTCCCAGCACCTAACTGCAATCTTTTTGCTTTTAAGTAGTATGTGTTGCAAAGAACAGTAAAACTGCAGTAATTTTTAAGCAGCTCTCATAAGCCTTCCATTGCCAAGATGATGATTCTGTAAATTTCCCAAACACTGAAGGGAATAATAGGTTTTAAAAGGCAAATATGAGCAAACTAAAAAACTAAAACCATGCGGTGCTTCAGCTATAGGTAAAGCAACTCTGAAAGTTATAAGAAGGGAAAAAAAAAAAAAAAAAGCTTTGCACTGTAAAGAGTGGGCAAAACTCTGGAGGTGGGAGGCCTGATTCCCAGCCAGAGACTTTTCCGGTGCTTGAGCATGTCCCCTGGCCCTTGGGAGCTGTCTGCCTAGTGCTTGTCATCTTGTCTCCCCTGGTGGAATAAAGGGCTTATTAGCTTGGGTTCAGCAGCACACTAATGGAGTCACATAGGGTTTGGATGAGACCCTTGCCAGGCGGCAGGGCAGGCAGAGGTGACGGCCATGGGCCAGGCCACACAGCTGCCTGCAGGCCGAACTCAGAACAGGGCCTGATCTCCACACAAAATCTGCTGCTCTGAAAGCTGGTGTGAACCATTGGGCTGTTGGCCTTCTGCCATGTGTGTTGGTCTAACCAAGGAACATGCAGCGATGGCACGCAGCCTGCTCATGTCCGCCAGCTTGTGTTGCCCGCCAGCATCACTGCGCATCAGCCCTGTGTTAATAAACCCACTTTGCACCACTTGCTCCTGAATGTTGGCATGGGTTATCCTGATAGATACATTTTTAGCAAAACAAATTAATTAGTTGCACACGATCATGTTCTATTTAACTTCTCACAGGAAAAGGGAAAAAAATTATTTACAAAAAGTTACATCCAAAATTAACTTGATTTCATTCATATGCTTCTAGTACAAACAGCACTGTTATAGACTGTGCTATAGCAAAAATAAAATTTGCCACAAGAATTGTCTTTATTAAAAGAGTTAATCTTTGTGGGGGAATATTCCTAGCAGACAGGCCAAGGAAGGGCTTATCCTCTTGCCCAGAAAATCTGATCCCATCAGCTGGTCTGATAAAAGGTATTAATTCTTCTTCCTTTTCTGCCTCTTTGATATCCTCTGACTATTGTGGCAACAACATTATTGCAAATTACTATTATTATAAAATTACGTGATTTATACTTTTTTCTTTACTAACATTTCAGAATTCATTCAGTATACTTGTTTAAGTGGTGAATTCTACTTAGAAGGGGATAAATACTGATTTACATTTCTAAGTGTCTTTTAACATAGAGAAGACACTGTCAATGTGAAAATCTGTGGGGAGTGGGAGATGGCTTGGAGGATGGAGAGAACAATCATGTCACATTTAAGCCTGTATGATCTGTTTCCATAGAAAAAGGTTAGAGATCAACAAATTCTCAGTTTAGTTCAGTAATAAATGAAGGCTGAGTAGGGCATTAAGTTTCTGGGGGAAGCATTAGCCAATATGTACAGCAGCAGCCTCTGGTGGTCTAAGAAAAAATGGTAGTATCTATAAGTAAGGATAGAAATATGTTTTTTAAAAGGAAGTATGCATATATTTAGCTATTTGACTCAATTTTGCATTCAACACATTAAAAAACAGATGCTTTAAAAACGATTTGCTGGCAATATGCTAGTGAAAATCTGAATAGTAAGACCAGTAAAATTCATATTGCATTCATTAACGTTACATAAAAGTAAAATGCTTTTATTTAATATTTCTATGAAGCATTATAGTCAATACTTGTTATCAAGAAATTTTCTCCTTGGTTTGCCTTGCTAAAAAAGAAACCAATTTTGTAAGATTGTTACTGAACTGATGATATTTTCTGTCTTCACTCATGAATTCACTTGTTTTCAAGAACAAAAAATTCTGTCTTATTACAAAACACACTAAGCAGGTTTTTCTGCCATAATGTTTGACATGATGTTTATTGCCCAGACCAAATCAGCCCCTTTAACAAGCTAAAATGTATGCCAGAAAGTACATTATTTCCTAGTTAAAGAAACTAACAGCATGAAACAATAAGTACTTTGATCTTTCAGGCACTGCGTTAATGCACTACACAGTCTAATAGTCGTTTTTATTTATATTCTTTTTTTGTGTGCATAAAAATAGAATGCAATTTGAGATTTTGTATTTTAAGACTCTGCTTTTACATATTCCTGAATATCCCAGCTAATTTGCATTTTCCTACAAAAATAAAGAAAATACTTAAAGAAATTTGTGGGAGTGGGAGAATTTCATTTTCGTACATCTTGGAAGATCTAACTGCACACATTGGACCAACAGCCAGATGCCTTTAATTTCACCATCCGGCATTTCATCAGAACACAACACTGTCTTACTGACCCTATGATAACATAACAGGATATTTATTCCCATTTCTTCTTAACAGTCAGAAACAACATCTCCAGCATATCTGGCACACACAAATCATCCTTCAATGTTAGACGCAGTGGATGCCTTCACTTTATCTTGAGGTATGTATCTACCACAGCTGTTGAGAGGAAATTTTGAATCTTTGTACCCATTTGCCTTACTTTGCAAAGGTGATCTAACGCTTACTCTGTATTTTTCAAAATTATTCAATGATATCACTACCAAAACATATACCATCCTTAAATACTTCTGTAAAGTATGATTTTTCTTCCTCTTATTCAAGATGTTAGTGAGTCAGAAGCATTCCTTACCACAGGGCAAGTAAAATTCATTTTTTTGCATTTGAATTGCTCTCTCAGGTTGTCTGAGACTAGCTCCAAAGATCATCATCCCACAGCTAAAGTAATGCAGGCGGTGATCCCAAGGTGTGAGAAAAGGGTGCTTTCAGTAGCATACACAGTTCAACAGACCCAAGCGTGAGAGGCAGGAAATGCACTGTATGTATGGCATTGCACCGTTTTGTTTGCATCATGCTATGCCTGGGGAGATTATCAACAGAGCAGAGCATGCTATATTCACGGCTCCTGTTGCAACCACCTGTCTTAAGTTTTTACAGACTTAGCGGTTCTACCCAGAAGAGTAAATGGTATTCCATCAGTGATCAAGTTTTGTTTCAGAAATTAGCAGGCAAGTGAATTGCAGTAATGTATCCCGCCACACACCAAAGCAGGACATTTTTCATTCTGTTTCAGAAAAACTCTCTGCATCAGAGTCTATTTAAGAAACATATATATATATTACATATATATATATAAAGGGATTCTTTCAGAATAAAAAACACCAATTGCATCAGAAAGCTCAATTTCAGTTACTTCACTCTGGAAAGAAGACTACCACATACACTTTCACTAAAACTTTTTCCCTTGGTTTGAAGAAAATTGAATAAAAGAGAATGTGAACAGTCGTATTTGAGGCACAGACCCACGTAAAAAAGAAAATGGTATGGAGTCATGCATTTTACGTTTTGGGGGTCAAACCTCCTGAAGCCAGATTTCATGCCTCATCAAACAAAAGAGCCACGAGAAGGTGGAACTGCTAAAAAGGTATCAAAAAAGGTTTACTTTCAATAAGAGGATACTGAACCAGCATGCTGACTAAACACATTTCAGGACTACACAACAATGTTCACCGGCGTCTGATGCAATTTGACAGAAGCCTCTTAAGAAACAGAGTCTGACCACTAGGAAGAATGGCATATTTCATAAAAGAAGCACATAGATAGAAAAAAATAAAAAAATCCCACAGTAGTGCTCTGTTAGTGACTTTGAATGTGTATATGGATCCTTTTGTTTCCAGTTCTCAGTCGTAAGATATTTCTTAGAAGACACAGTAATATTTATGGTATTAGTGATTCTTAATGCCCAGGTTACAAAATCTCTTATACAGTTACTGCTGCTGTATTTCTCCTAGAAACACTTCAATGTTACACCACAATTAAAAGGAACACGTTAAAATTTAAGAGGATTCTAACATCTCTTGTGCTGGATTTTTCTATATTTCACAACAGAAGGACATGCACATTTTTACTGATTTAAGCACGGTGTGGCTTTTCTGACATGTTTTACTGTTGAATGAAAATGCTAACTTCCATAATAAAGGCTTTGGATATTGCATGACTCAGTCTCAAATGTATAATGCATAGTATGTATATGAAGCAGAATGTGTCAAAGTGCAAATAATATTGTTTGTGCCCCCTGCAGAATTAGAAATCCTCGGGTAGCACTGTTATAACGATCCCATGCTGGTAGCATTACAAAGTGCAAAGGTTCACTGAGTAAGAAAAGAGCAGGGGACAGAGTTTCCTCATTACACCATTCTCGAACTATTCTAGCTTAAATATTTATTAAGATATTAATAACTCTCCTCCTTTATCTGCCTTCAGAAGTTCAGCTGAAACACAATGGATGGCTGCTCATATGAAAACAATACATTATAGGGTAAATCTGCTACCAAGCAAGATGAACACCAGTATTTTCCACAATACATTATTAATTCAGCAGGTAATATGTTAAAAATCTATCATTCCATAACTACTGCCTCCCCAGTATATGACAATGTAATACAATAAATGCATGCATGACATGTGAAGCTAATGTGTTGCTGAAGTTGCACCAGAAAGTGTTTCATATGTACACCTCTGTTTATAAAATGAGTCTTCCTTAAATCATTCCCTTTCTTCATAGCACCAGTGCATTCCTCTGGGGTTTATTTGAAGTTCCTCTTTGAAATTAGAAAGGACTGTTTTGTAACTCTTCCAAAACTTACTTTACATTCAGTAAGTGACGAAAAATATCAATAGAATAAAGAGCTAGGAACTCTGTATGAACTCTTGAATGTCACTGCAGAAATATGTTTGTTTTTAAAAAAGCATGCTATTTATTAGCTAATATGGACAGCAAACATATCGATCCATTAGTAAACAAGGACAAACAAAAGTAAAAGAAACTTACTCTAATATACATCTGTATTGTTTCTTTTTCTTTCTGTGGATTTCGATACTTCTCATAGAAGTCACGTCGTTTCTTTGTTTCCTTCTGGATTTTATCTTTTCTTTCCCTCTTTTCTGCAGGTTCATCTGAGCTATCAGAAGACAGCTGTACTTGGGCTTTTGTCTTCTCCACTTCAATATAGTTCTCATTGGGATTCAGTACTATTACTCCATAGCCCTCCTGTTTTAGAAGAGACAAAAAAAAAAAAAAAAAAGAAAAAAACAAAAAAAAGAAAAAAACAAGAAAAAAACAAGGAAAGAAATATGAAAAGAGAGATTTGATACTTGAAAATGCTTTCTGTTTACTTTAATGCTCTTAAAAACACATATTTATTTCAGTAAGTTCACATAACGTAATTTTTTAGAAGAACATTTTAAGAATATTGTTTCTTTTCAGTCATTAAAGGGATATTGATGTGTGAATACGTCTGTGCGTGCACTAATGCATATACACATCCCTCGGCATCAGAGAAGTTGGCTGATTTACCTTTAAAATAATTTAATATGTTGTTTTATTCATAAGCATGTTATATGACTTTTTCAGAAAACCGTATTAAAACTATACGCAAAATATTATTTTAAAAACTCTACATAATGTTGAATAAAAAGCTATATAGTCAGCCAATAAAAACCTTTAAAAGAGAAAGGATGGAGAGAATTCATATATATATATTAAGGAAAGCATGGGAAAATTATTCAGCACAGTTTAAAATAGTGAAACCTTTTGTCTAGCTGACAAGCCAACAGCAGCAGTAACAATGAATCAATACTACAACTGATTCAGTGGTATTGCTTACAAGTCAACTGTTTTACTGTGGAGAAGACTTTTAAGCACATCTTTAAATCTGCTCTAAAACTTCACTGGGATTATGTCCCATATTCAACAAACCCAGAGAAAATTTGTGACCTGCAGGATGCTTTTGAACATACCAGCTGCATTTTTGTGCCTTGGAAAATGAGCTGGTTGAAAAATACATGAATTTATGAATGAGAAATAAATCTTGAATAAATCAGCCAATCATTTTATTATGATTTTTAAATGATGGTAAATCATATAAGAATTGTAATATTTGTGAAAGATCATCGCAAATGCAGGGAGAAAAAGGGAAGCACGTGCATTTAACAGATGAGTCCTTAAAGTTACCATGGGTTCCCAATGAAAATCAAGCTGTCCTTTAAAAGTAGATTTTAATAAAGACTCACTTTTTGAAAATGTCTACGCTAATTATCTAACGGAACAGCTTTATTCCGGCTTTTCGTTCAGTGCTCAATTCTGCACTTAGGCAAGGCGAGAAGATCAAAGAAGTCCACGTACCTAGCTTCAGCAGAGTAAACCACATCTACGCTAACAAAAGATACTTTATTTGGGCTTGCTTTATTCTAATCTGTAGAGCTATTCAAAAATCTTGTAACACATTGTGATCACTGTCAGGTAGACAGATTGTCACTTAGTGATTTTCTACAGTTGGACACACTCGACTAGTTATCAAAATCACATTTGAAGGAAGTTCCTACCCCTCTTCCTTGTGTCCGCACAACTTTTCACGCCCTTCTCAAATTTCTGCCATAGCTTCTCCTCCCACCAAAACGAAGCTAAAGGACACTGTTGCACTCTGCTAAACAGGGTGAAATAGAGGCATTCAGTACACTGTCTCTGGTGTAAGGGACATCGTCAAAAAAGGTCACCATAGGCCAAAGAGAAAATTGCCTCCTTACTAGATTCGGTACTGTGAGTAAGTGGTCTCCTGTCATGTTTCTTCCCTGCCCTCTCCGCTGAGTGAATTGAACTTAGGTAAATGTAAATAAATAAATAGCCAAATAAATAAGCGGAGGGAAGGGGAGGGGCAAAGAAAAACGTGAAACAAAAGGAGGCATGGCTCAAAAGCTACCCGTGCCTTCACTGCCTGTATCGACGCACAATACCACATTATCAGCAGATAAATTTCCAGCTCACAAATTTCAAAGCCCCAAATCCAGCACAGGGGAGAACAGCGCTTCAGCAGATACGTGTTACTAAATTACTGGGGATGAAAGCATGACTTCAGCTTGCTCACTGTGGAGCAGGGACTAACTTATCCCCACACTCATCACCAAGCACTTTGGTGGTTTCATCGCGCAACACAGGCTGCTCCCTTTGTTGTTCATCTTGACCTGCTCTTTCTGAGCAGAGACACTCTGCGTATCGATTCCTTTTACTTTCTATACAATGCCAAATGCAAAATTCATGTATTTGTTATAGGTCTACAAGTGTTACAGGAATTTGAAACCCTGTGTCCACTTTTAGCTGACCACAAAACAGACACATAAATCATCAAAGAAGTAGAATTTGTCTAAGTTATTGATTATGTAACTGAAAATTACATGACTCATTTGTCCAATTTTATGAGGACACAATGTCAATTTTTCACATAGACATCAACAGATGAAATACGATTCCATTTTTAAATTCCCCATGTCATAAATCAATTAGAGGATTTTTATCAATTATATTTTAAGCAGCATAACGCATCTCCCTCTACGCTTTAAAGCTTCTTTTTCCCGAGAAAGCACATCTTTCCTGTCAGTACAATTAAAATAATTAGTAATAACTGAGTTTTTTTTTTTTTTTTTTTTTTTCTTCATCTGTGGGAAAAACAATCACCTTATAATTCATAGGAATTTCTCTTGGGAAAATAATACACTTTAGACTGTTTTGCTTATGATTCTCTTTCCCTTGTCCTCTGCATCTGAAATTAAAACGTGTAAACAGTAGTACCAGAAAGATTTGGTAGTAACAAGCATTTGATAGTAGCACCGCGGAGAAACTAAGTCTGGCAAAACTGCACCTGGTTCCGGATTTAATCAGCCTTAACCTAAACATTTTTTATTTCTGTTAATTTCCATTGAAAATGCATACTTAGCTTTAGATAACATCAGTGTAAACATATTTTAAATTCAATTCATTTCTTAAAAACGCAGTCATATGAGAATAGCTGCACCACTAAACTTCAGTGTGATCAGAAAATAAAAAAAAAAAAAGTGGAACTCTTCAGTGTGGTTGAACAAAATGCAAATTAATGCAAAACACAATAAAAAATAATCCACTAATACTTAAAAGCAGGCCTTCAGGAAACTTTAATAATAGGCAATATACACAATCTTCGGCATAACTATTTAGCAACCAAAAAAATCACGTTCATTAATAACTTTAAATAGAAGTCATGGTCAGAAGTACGTACCTCACAATGGCATTAAAAATACCAACTTCTGTTCTGATGAATGTACAGCATTATTAAAAAATGTAGTGAACTAATTAGTGAAAGTAGTGAACTAATTACTGAAAATAATTATTGTAATTCTGGGAAGTTTAAAGTTTGATATGTTTTCTGTGTATGTAATTGTGGAGTTGCTTTTTCTATGGATCCAGTGCACGCAGAATGTTAAACCACTGTGTAAAGCGCTCTGTTTTTTATCATAGTAAAAAGTCAAATTTTGTAACAGCAGTAAGAAAATTTTCCATAAATCAAACATATCTAAGAGAATACAGATGCCACACAGAAGTCTGTGTCTTAGATAAGTCACATAGTTTGTCTGCATCACCCATTAGTATATCTTTGATGAGAAGTAATAATCAGGATAGGCACTGATAAATACAAGTTCCTGTCTCTGATCTACGAGCTCAGGGGGCACAATCACAGTCTCTTTCAGACTGGAATACTCTATAACAGCTATTTCCTGCAATTTGTTTAATGTTCAGAAAAGTTAAGCTTCAGGATAAGTTGGCAGCAAAACATCAACTGTACCAACTGCTATCAACCTCCAAGAAACACTTCTGGAGGTAGTGGAAATGATGATAGAAAGGGAAGACAGCTGAAAAAAGTCAAGTGTTGGAAAGAATCAAAAATCTCAGTTACAATACCTTCACTACAAAGGCAGAACAATGTAGAAGGGCCTTTTTCACCGTAATGCAAGCCAGAATTGCAACTGTGCTTTGTCTCTTACTGGAAGCTCAAGCAAGCCATTTGAAATTGAGAGAACATGGAAATTATTGCATCTGGCAGTAAGACTGAGGTGGAAAAGAAAAAAAAAAAAAAATCTCAAAGTATTTGAGGTAAACTCTCAATCTTTTGAAACCTCTTCTGCCTGGCCAAATGAATAATGAGCTGAAAGCATTCAGTTCTGCATATTAATCCACCAAGATGGGATACCATATGTGACCAGAAAGGTCAGGGCTGGAGAAGAATCTTTTGACCTACGTAACTATGTTTTTGGACTGCATGCAATGGTCTGAAAGAGACCATTTTCCTAAGCCTTATCACCCTGAATTCCCAAGTTCATACTTCTGTATGGATTGTTTGCGGCACGACCAGAGTTAATTCCCAAGGGAAATGCAACTCCAAGTGTTCGTCTCCTAAACCTGCCTGTGGTTAAAGCGGACATGGCAACGTCCATTCATCTTTCTGAAAGATGTACGTTCTGTTTATTCCCCATCTTTTTCACAAGAAGGGAACATATATGTCACTGTTGCGACATCGTAGGTGCAACAGCGGGATGAGGTCATGACAACCAATCAGAAGCCACTAGTGAAGCGTTAAAGTAAACATAGCTGTTGGAGATGCAGCTCAGCTTGAAAAATGCCCCCTCCATTATTTGAGCAATTTTCTCAAGACGTGACCTGAGACTGAAACGCCTGAAATGTCAGTTGACTCCGCTTTCTGTTTCCACCCTATGTACATTTTGGCAACTGCACCCTGCTAACACTTTGCAATATTTTTGTCCCAGCTACACCTCAGCTCTGGCGCACTGAATTCCAGCGCTGTGTCCAAGTGTGTAAAAATGCCGTGTTACTGCCAAACACGCATTGTCCCACTAAGTTCCCAACTTAAAATAGCTCATCAAGCTAGGCAGGAAAAGAAAACATGCCACAAAAAGTTTTTAGAAGACCACCTGTTGTCTATTATTTTTACATAGCACTTACTCATAAATCATAACACAGGGTAATTAATCAAGCTGTCAAAGAGAAGGTCAAAGGTTATGTGGGGGAGTCAGAAGGTCATGCATGGGCTGATAGAGGTCAGGGTCACACCGCATTCCTCATTATCAAGTTGGGATGAGAGACGGCCCAAGCAAACAAAAGTGAAAGCAGATGGAGAAGTGAGTGGATAGAAAAAAAGAAGAAAATTTCACAAACAAAAAGAAAAG